CTCTAGATGGTTGAACTTGTTTCCATATAACTGTTCATAGTAGTTATTAATTATTCTTTTGATTTCTGCTGTGTCCGTTGTGATTTCTCCTCTTTCATTTGTGATCCTGTTTATTTGTGCTTTCTCCCTTTTTTCCTTTGTGAGCCTGGCTAGGGGTTTGTCTATTTTATTGATTTTTTTCAAAGAACCGACGGTTGGTTTCATTGATCTTTTGGATTGTTTTTTTAATTTCAATTTCATTTATTTCTGCTTTGGTTTTTATTATTTCTTTTCTTCTACTGGTTTTGGAATTTTTTTTTTGTTGTTCTTTTTCTAGATCTTTGAGCTTCGAGATTAGGTTGTTTCTTTGAGTTCTTTGTTTCTTGATGTGAGCTTCTATTGCTATATATTTTCCTCTTATTACTGCTTTTGCTGCATCCCATACATTTAGGATATTGGTGTCCTCCTTGTCGTTCAATTCAAAAAATTTTTTAATTTCTTCTTTGATCTCCTCATTAGTCCAATGGTCTTCCAGTAGTGTGGTTTTTAATCTCCATGAGGTAGGAAAGTTCCTTGCCTTCTTTTTATGGTTTATTTCTAGTTTGATGCCTTCATGGTCAGAAAAGATGGTTGATATGATTTCAATCTTGGTGTATCTGTTGATGTTTGTCTTGTGCCCCAGTATGTGATCGATCCTGGAGAATGATCCGTGTGCGCTTGAGAAAAATGTGTACTCCGTTTTTTTTGGGTTTAGTGTTCTATAGATGTCTGTTAAGCCCAATTGCTCTAGGTCCTTATTTAGAGCTTTGGTTTCTTTACTTATTTTTTGTCTTGTTGATCTATCCATTGTTGATAGTGGTGTGTTGAAGTCTCCCACTACGTATGTGTTTTCTCTGATGTCTGTTTTCAGAGAGGACAACAGTTGTCTGATATATTTTGGTGCTCCTTCGTTTGGTGAGTATATATTAATGAGTGTTATTTCTTCTTGAAGCATTGTCCCCTTGATCATAATGTAGTGACCATTGGGGTCTCTTTTTATCTTTTTGAGTTTGAAATCTGTTTTATCTGATATAAGTATAGCTGTTCCTGCTTTCTTTTTTGGTCCATTTGCTTGTAGGATTGTTTTCCATCCTTTAACTTTGAGCCTATTTTTATCTTTTGTAGCTAAATGTGTTTCCTAGAGACAGCAAAAGGTTGGGTTTTGTTCTTAATCCAGGCTGCAACTCTGTGTCTTTTTATTGAAGAGTTTAGTCCATTTACATTTAGAGTTAATATTGATATGTTAACATCTGTATTTGCCATTGTGTTTGTCTTTCCTTTGATTTTATTTATTTATTCTTTTAATAACCTTTTTTTTTTGGCCTTCTTTCATTGTTATTCATCCCTCTGAGGTTCTGGCTTTAGGACTCCTTGTAGTATTTTTTGGAGTGGGGGTTTAGTTGTAATGAAATCCCGGAGTTTTGTTTGTCTGGGAAGGTCCATATTCTTTCTTCAAAGAGGAAGGAGAGCTTTGCGGGACAGAGTATTCTTGGTTGGCATCTGTTTTCTTGGAGTCTGTTGACTATGTCCCTCCACTCTCTCCTTGCCCATAGTGTTTCTTCGGAGAAGTCTGATGTCAGCCTGATTGGCTTTCCTTTGAATGTTATCTGTTTCTTCCCTCTTGCCAGCTTCATTATTTTTTCCTTGTCCTGGATTCTTGGGAGCTTTACTATTATGTGTCTTGCTGTATTTTTCCTTTCGTCGTGGAAGTTTGGTGTTCTTCTTGCTTCTTGTATATCAATTTTCAGCTCCTTCTTCACATTTGGGAAGTTCTCTTCAATTATCTCTTTGAAAATTTTCTCTGTTCCTACTTCTCTCTCCTCTCCTTCTGGTATTCCTATAACTCTTATATTTCCTTTCCTCATGGAGTCAGATAGTTCCCGAAGTCTTTCTTCGTTCTTTTTCCTTCGTACTTCTCTTTCCTTTTCTGTTTTGGTTCTTTTTATTTCTATGTCTTAAAGAGAACTTATTCATTCTTCCATTTCATCTATTCTGCTTTCATTGCTTTTCCCAGAATTCTTTAGTTCTTCCATTAATTCTTTGATCTCCTGCATTTCTTTTACTTCCCTCTTTAGGGACTCAATTTCATTCTTCTGATCGTTGATTATTTTTCCCTTATCATTGTTTTCCTTTATGACTTCTGTCAGTTTTTTAATCATGGCAATTTTAAATTCTCTTTCTGGAAGGCTCAGAAGTTCTTCCAAGTTACTGTCGTTGCAATCTGGGGGCTGGTTTTCTTTTTGTGGTGTGCTTTTTTCCCTGGGGAGTAGCTAGGTTGCGTGTGGTTCTTCTCCTCCCTACTGTCTGTTTTCTAATTTGCTGTATGCGTTGGGACACTGTGTTGTTGGGACTGGCCGGCATCTTGGGTGAGCTTCTCTGCTCCCCTCTGGTTCCTCCAGGAGTCATCTGTCAGTTTCAAGCAGTCTTTACTGGAGAAAGGTCCCTGTTCTAAAATGCCAATGTGGGGACACACTCCCCTGTGCGCCTGGTCTGCCCCGGCAGTGGGTTCCTGCTCCCCCTCTGGGCTTGGACTGCAGGCCAGAGGGGGTCTGGCGTGGGCGAACTTCCCCCGCTCACCTCTGGCTCCTGAGGAAGCCTTCTGCAGGTAGTCTTTACTGAAGAAATGTCCCTGTTCTAAAATGGTGATGTGGGACACACTCCCTGCGCGTCCAGTCTCAGGCACACTCTTCTGCGCGCCTGGTCTGCCCCGGCTGTGTGTGCTTGCTCCCCCTGTGGGCTCAGACTACTGGTCGGAAGGGGCCCGGCGTGGGCTAACTCCCCAGCTGGCCACTAGCTCCTTCAGGAGCCTCTGCTGGTTTCAAGTCGCTAGGTGGCGCCAGAGATCTCTCCTAGAGCCCTTGGGGAGCTGATTATCCACCCCGTGGGACAGGGAACAGAGCGGGGATGGTAGGGTACACCTCAACGGCTTTGGGGTGCTGTGTCTGCCTTGTGCCCCACCGTCGTGGGGAACGCATGCCCCTAATTTCGTGCCCCGGGTCTCAGTTCCAAAGCCCTCAGTTCCAGGACGCGGGCTGTAGCCCAGTTCAGTGGCACGGGAATGGCGCCTTTTGAATCCCGCTCCCGTGCCTGGGCGCCTGGTTCCTGCTCACACAGTGAGGGCCTCCGCGCGTCTCCCCGCAAGCCTAGGTCGCAGGCTCGGGGACCTGGGCAGCTGCGATTCAATCTGGATCCGCGTTCGCTTTTCAACCACACTGCTTTTTCAACCGCACTGCTTTTCCGCGCGATCCCGTTTCCGATCTGCGCCGCTTTTCCGCGCAATCCCGATCCCAATCCGCGTCTGCTTTTCCAGCGCGCCGCTTTTCCACGCAAGCTTACCGGGCGGCCCGGGGCTGTGTGCTGGTGCTGGCCTCCTCCTGGGCGGGGTCTCTCTTTAATGGCGCCTGGAGCTCACCTCCGCGGCGAATCCTGCAGGATTCTCCACAGCTCCCGTTCACGGGGTGTGGTGGCTGCAATAGTTCCTTTCCACTCACAGTCCCGCTTGCTGCGCTTTTGTTCTTGTGGGCCGTTTTGGTTTGTTGTTTCCCTCCTCTCTGCCGGTCGGAGAGTGCCGCCTCTGTGGGCCGGGGAGGGGAGCAGGGTTCTGCGCTTCCCTCCCTTCTGGTCCTCTTTTATGTCAACTTTCTTCTTCGGGCAGTTTCCTGGAGTCACCCCTTTATCTTCCGTGTCCCAGTTCTCTCTGGGACCTGCCGCTTTTCCTCCCTATTAACTTTTTTTAATGGGAGATCTTACTCGCAGCGTCTCCTCGCCGCCATGTTGCTCCGCCCCCCCCCACCTTTTATTTTAATCAAGAGGCCCTTTTTAACTTTAATACTATTTGCTATTTATTTCTTAATTAAAATGAATAAAGTAATTACAAAAATAAATAAAACTAAAATATGTGCATATGCAGAAGCAAAATACTGCAATCTTGCCTACATGAGCTTTTTCCAGCTAAGACAAGAGGTCAGTTATACTCATCTTTGTGGCCCCTAAAACATCTCCTGCCACGTAATGGGTATTTAATAGTATGTTCAAAGAAGAAAGAAAGGGAGAGAAAAAAAGAGGAAATAAAAATATGGTAGATAAGATACAGATAGTTATAGTTCCCTCTTCACATTTTTCTGAAATTATCATGTTTTAAAATTAATATATGTTTTAATTTAAAAACTTGACTCTAGTAACAATGTGGAGTTTGGGCCTCCATGTGGAGGTAGGTTGACAGGGAGAAGGCTACTTTAACATTACCAACTGGAGATTCTGAGCAGCCTGACAAGTACTGCCAAACAGCCAAAGGCTCTGACCAGACTATTTTCTGACGTGGCTGAAGGCTGCCTCCTCTAGTGTCATGAATGACACATGCTAAGTCACACATGCTAAGTGGACACAGAGGGATGACCAAGCATCATCAGAAGCAGCAGGAGACCGGATGAGATGCTGACTGTTTCTTCTCCCCTTCCCCAGTCAAAGCTTGAGTGATTCTGATTACCTTCCAGGAGTTATATGTTTTGTTTTTTTTTTTTAAAAAAAAAAAAAAGGTAAATGGAATAGAGCTGAGGATCACTGGTGCCCAAAATCCATGCAGTCTAACAGCGGGCTCTCCCATCCATCCCTCTAGGGGTCACCAGCCCATTCTTAATGGATCCCAGCCTTTAACATCCATTTGACCTCTCTCTCCTCCAAGCCTTTTTCTTTCCATTTCACAATCCTTAGTTCCACCTTCACTTTCTAGCAGCTCTCCAAGGCTTCACCTTTTGGAGTACCTTTTATGTGTTAAATATTGGACTCTGTTGCTGGGCTCCAGTGAATGTTGCTTAAAACACAAAAGGTTAAGCAGAGAGCAACTGTATTGATTAAACATCCATTTTCTTTCCTTTTGTTTTTGTAAGAGCCCTTGATGTTGTCTCTGATTGACAGCCCCACCTGTACACCTCTGGCCCCAGATTCCCCTTGGTAATGTCACTGAGAGCTACAGAACACCTCACCCGCTCCACACATGCCACAGATTCTTCATGTGCAGCTTTCAAAGGGGAAAAAAAATGTAGCTTTTTTCTCTTTTCCTTTCTTTCTCCAGTCCTTAGACATATTTTATTTCCAGAAGTCCCTGCTGAATGAAGAAAAGTAAGATGAGGAGAAGAGGCGAAAGCTTTCAGCACTGACCCCTATCTTTTATTCGAATTTCTCCAGCTAGCAAGCCTTTGAATATGCTTTCAAAAAGGTGACAACCTTGTTAAATTAGCTTTCCTTCTTGCCTCTTACAGTGTGAATGACCTAAAGAATCATTCCTGCAAGACTAACAAAATTACACCCATTAACGAGCTCACATGAGAGGCCTGGTGTGATGGTGGCTTTGCCCTGTTGTCGGTTCATAATAATGACTACATCAGCTGGCTCTGACTCTTTCCTGCTCTCTCCTACAAGGGTAATATTGCAAATAATAGGGCATCTCATTGCCATTATAAAAGAGGATAAGCCTTCCACGTGTAGAAGCCAAATGTCCAGTTACTAATACATAGCCAACAATAAATTAAGGTCAAACAGCTCCAAAAAATGTATCTCCTTTCCTAAAGAGCTCTGTTTACACCATCAAGTAAAGCTTATTTGTAAGAACAGGGTCATGAGAATGATCACTGGAATTGACAAGGCTGACTAGGCTGCCCATTGGTAACCAGCACTGTTTTAGCAACTTGAACATTTATCAGCAGGTCCTTCAATGGATTTCAGCCCAGCTTCACCTCTGCTAGTTCAGTTTAGACCTTCACAGAAAGTCCAATTTGGATCAGATTCTATACTAGTGTAACTAAGACTTAACTAGATGAAATTGTAAGACAAAGACAGAGGTCCAAAGCTGGAATGCCTGCCTCTCTTCTCCTCTACTGACAAGGCCCAAACATCCAGGAAGTACTATACTAATTCAAAGACTCAGGAATACAATGGAGACAGTTTTTATTGGCTTGCAAGTACTGACTACTAAATTTTCAGGACTTATGCAGGTCACTTGCTAATCATAGCTATTATTAAAAATTAAATTATATGAACTTATAATTTAAAATATATCAGAAACAAAGGTAACACACACTCAAAACATAACTTCTTAATTATTTTACTACATTTTGTGCTTCTGCACTTGTTCTGTTGGTCATTATACTATGCTTTGTGCGGTACAGATAGGCTAGGTCAAATTTTACTTTCAGTAGCAGGGGCTGTGTCAGATTGGATTCACAAGTCAAAGTTTGCCTATCCCTGATCTAGGTTTAAGGAAGCCTTCTGAGTGAATCAAGTGACAATCTGCATTGACAATAAAGGGTACTGTACATTTTATTATGGTTTGTAAATATGTGCTATACATCCTTTACATCAGTAAAATGAATACAAACAATGGACACATACATTTTTATTGGCAAGATGGTTAAGCACACACCAGTCACAAAATCTGTAATCCATGCTGCTCTTTCCCTTCCCTAGAAACTTTTGCTGAATGTGTGCTCAATGACAGAAACAAGAGATGAAAAAGAATTAGAAAATGAGATCCAATGTTCTCTAAGAACTCACAACCAGGGCAAGACAACAAAGTAACAGATAAATGATAGCATAAGACACAGAAATACAGGAAAGAGAAAAAGGTGCAGAAATTCAAATGACCTAAGTGCTGTGAGGCAGAGAGAATGATAACTGGCGTTCATGGTTCCAGATGATTCCATAGAGAAAAGCTGACCTAATCCACACAGTAACCCCATGAGGTAGATGTTAGTGTCTCCAGGTTACATTTGCGCAAACTGAGATGCAGAGATTTAGTTAATATGCCCAATATCATTAGCTAGAAGGACAGGGCTAAGATTCAAAGTCAGGACTTAATACCAAGGTCCTTTTCTTTTACTGCACTCCCACTGAATCCCTTCTTATTAAAACAGGGTAGTCATAACCCTACTTTGATTTGTTGCAAAATGTCTCTCCCATACACTTAATAGGTTCCCTCCCTCTCCAGTACAACTGTCATATGAGTTTATCACCTCCCAAAAGTCAAAAAGTAAATGTTAATTAAAAGTTTTAAAAGAATAGGTGTCAATGGATCTCTGAAGTGCTAAGAGTAGCGAGTTGAACTGTGACCAAATTCAAAGTCTGACATTAATGAACATTAACACATGCAGGTGTTTTCTCTTTATGGAGACAGGGAGAGCCTTGAGAGCAGGAATTGAGCCTTCTGAAAACAAGCATGATTCTTTCTACAAAGTTCAAGAGAGGACTGGTAATACAGGAGTAGAAGATGTGTCCAAGCACTGGAGTTACTGGGGATCCCGAAGCAGGAGCTGCTGAGCCACAGTCCAACACACGGAGATGTGCTTCACCCATGGGCCTTGAGGGGGGCAATCTTTATCTCTAGAGGGGCAGGGAAGCCCAAAGAATTACCTGAACCCCAATCTTACTTCCAGTGAAAACTGTCCACAGTTGATACATTTATCATTTCACAAGAGAGCTAAAGAAAATCAACATATTTTTAAAAGTACAGAGAAGATTTCACAGTATCTCTTGGAAATTTCTTTGAGAGAGGAGGTTCTTAAATTTTGAAGTAAATCAGGGTAACCTGGGGAACTTGTTAAAAGTATCTTTTACCAGTCCACTCCCAGGTGGTCTGATTTACTAGGTCTCCAACCAGAACTACATACTCCAGATTAAGAATCTTGTAGAGTTTTCTCAATTCATACAGTGAATATTTTTTTTTTCCATTCTGGCTAACCAATTGCTATTCTACAGAGTCTCACACTCCAGACCCTCCTGGGATAGCACACAAAATAAAATACATGTTCATTTTAACTTTCACGAATCGTAAACATTTTAGAAATATATTTGGTCCCAAGCATTTTGGATAGAAGACGATGGACCTCAATGAAATCCCTTGTAACTTTGGTTACTCCTCAAGAATGGGGGACTTAGAGGTTTTAAGGAAGGAAAATTCCCCAAACTTTATCTTTTGAACTGCCTCTGTTTTTCTCAAGGTGTCTGATCTTCAGAAAGCAAGAGGCAGAAGTATACCAATTAAGTGATCACAAACCTCCTCGCCACTTTTCTTGGAAATTCCTTACATCTCCAGGACTATATACTCTAATATCCTATTACCCTAGTTCAGGTAAGAATGGTACTTCACCCTTTGTGATGCTCAGTACATTTATCACATGAAAAGAGAAGACACAGTCTAAGTCCATGGTATGTTTAAAGTCTTCATGAGTCTAGGTCCCTATTATTCAGTCCCTTTTCCCGGGGCAGACCCAATGAACAATACCAGGAAAGTGAGTGGATAATAGCGTCAGCTTCCAAGATCTGAAGTATAAGCAAGGAGCATTCTCAGAAAAAGTAAAACAAGGACGAGACAGTCAAACTAAGAGAAGATGTCTAGCTACCAGAGGCTGCAAACTAATTAACATGACTGCACTACCTTGTCTGTGCCTCCCTCTTCAATTTTCTGCCCCTTCACATCTTCACTTCATTGCTCTTAGTTTTCTTCAGTTTACTGGAAAACCATGTTATTGCTACTATTTTTTTTATCTGCTGGTCTTGTGACCTAGGTCAGTTAAACTCATTCCATTACCCAGCCTGTGGCCATGGTAAGACTAGAAACTATACCTGTATTCCACCATTGTGTTCCCAGTGCCTGGAACAAATGATTTGATGCTTAACATATGTGTGCTAAAGGAACGAGTAAGTGAATAAATAAGCAAAAGAGGCAGGGTACAAAGCAGATCAGTAGGAGTGTTCCAGAACTGTTTCTGGGACACAGTTGGCCACACAGTCCTCTCTTGCTGAGTGGGCTCTGAATGATAAGTGGCAGGTTCACTAAAGATAAAAAGTCAAGGTTGCACAGAAACCCATATTCTTTCTCTCTCCCTGACCCTCTTTCTTCTATCTTTGGAGTCCTCAAAAATTTTTCATTTTTATATGATGTGTTGATTTTCTGTCTTCCCCTAGATAATAAGTTTCATGGGAGCAGAGACCATATATCAGCTGTTCCCCATTTTATATTAATCCCCAGGAGTCATTTCTGGAGCAGCTATTCATAGCAAATATTTGTTGAATGAATGAATAAATGAATGCATGGATAGATTCATGACAATCTCTCAGGTTCCAGAGATACTGCATTTTGGAATCTCTTAAGCTCCCTGAAGATGATACTGGTATTCCAAGTTTCCTCATGAATAAGAAAAATATTATTAACTGAGAAGACAGAATGAAATGCTATCAGACCTAGACATTCATCCCAAACAACTTGATCTTCTGAGAAATTACTGAACTTCACCAAACTCTAAAAAATTCACTCCTGAAATTTCAGTATATTCTAGTTATTTCTCTGAAAAATATCCTCCCTTCTGTCCTACTCCTAATCCATCCTTCACCCACAGAGTCATAAGAGAAATTCCTCCAGAAGAGAAAACCAGATACCAATGTCTTCATAAACTTTTCTACAATCATGAAAAGCTCCTTGGCAAAGGATAGGAGAAAAGGGGACGTAATGTCTTCTCTGAAACCAATTTAAAAGAAAATTAGATGTTCTTCCACCTGGAAAATCAAAGAAATTCAAGAAAATGTCTTTCCTCAGCAAGGATTTATCTTGGGAAATAGGTAATTGAAGGAAAGAACAGCAACATATTTGTATCATGGTCACTCATAAGCCCCAATGAAAATGAGAAGGTGAAAGAATTTCCTTTTAAAACAAAGAACTCACATAATTCATATTCCACTCTCTCAAGTCTATATTCCAAATTCTCCTTACTTTTCCCAATTAAAATTAAATACATGAAAAACCAAAGGAAGATGGTTTTAAAGGGCTTGACTTCAAAAGAATAATGAATCCCCCAGAGGATAGCACATATAATTCCAGAAACAAAGGAGTAAAAGGAGACGTTGAGCATAATTTTAGTGGAAATGGGTTCACATATAGAATATAGTCTTTAGATTTGAGAAGGATAATAGATTTGACAAAAGACTTTTCTGAATGCCCCCAAATTCTGAATAATTCATAAGGCTATAGTATATATTTTCTTCATTTACAAAATTGGGATTTTGAGTTCCACATCACAGATGTCTTAAAATAACTAAATAAGACTATATAGTAAA